ACACCTGAAAAAGAATCAAGCTTTGATTCTCAATAGCTTTTCCTTTTTTCTTTTTTGTGTATTTAGACAGACTGATGATAGTATTCGAAGGGTCTCTAATAATAATTCTTATGGTCAAAGGGACATCCCATCAGCTTAACAGGACAGTCACCTTTCACCTGTATATATATATATTTGATACAGGTAAGAAATAGGTAAAGTTATGAGTCATATAAGGTGTCCTAGATCCTCTCTATAATAATCACTATGTTAAACATTGATCATATATTATATATATAAATATCACTTCAAATACCTTCATTCCTTATAAATATCATACATTCTTGTCCTTTAACAATCAATTTCTACAATCAGATTCTTCAAAGGTGATAAAGATGACAAACTCAGTTAAAGAATGGAATCAGTGGGTTCCAGAGAGGAGAGTGGTACTGCCTCCCATTGGGACAGTTTTTGGGCATGCACTTATAAGCTTGAATGTGTGAAGAAATGTTGTTTTACATTTTCTATGATTATCTGGTGCTGCCAAAAATTCTTTAGCTTCTGAAGTTCGGATGACTGCCATATGACTTCATCAGATGTGAAGCCAAAGATAGAATCATGATGCCTACAAGAAACTTGATGTTTTTTTTTGGTTGCTATATACCATTCAGACTTTAATCAAAAGAATCATAACTTAGATATTTCACACTAACTTGTTAAAATAAACATTTACTATGAAATAGTGGATTTTCTTACAAAGGATCTTCCAACCTTACCACGGCCCTAATATGATTGTAGATTCTATTCAATCAAATTACAAACCAACTATCCTTTGAGTCCCATTTAAAGATCATTTTTAAATCGTTAACACTTAAATTAAGGTTTTGTCTGATGTTGGTTTGTTTATTGAAACAGCAGAAAATATAAGAGAACTGAAAACCATACCTTGTCGCATTAAAGTGTCTCCCTTAGTCATGGACACAACATCAGAGCCAGAAATGTCAAGGGTTAATGAGCCCAAACTTTTCAACCTACTTAGTCCAATAATAAAGTATAAGTTCCCAAAGTCTAGTAATTGCTATGGTCTACTGACTAATTCAACATGACACAAACTGACAGGTGGAAACATTCATAACAAAAACAATAGACGCTGGTAAAGGATATAACTACAGCCACTTTCCCAAGACATTTCTCAACTTCTCTATTGCAACCTAGAATGTCTTCTATTACTACTATCATTTTCAGAGTATCCACATACTGGTACCTTATAATAACCAAGGAACTTAACAAAGTTGACAAATTAGTTTATTTTGTCAATAAGCACATAATATTTCAAAATATTTTGATTAATGTAGAGGCAATACAAACAAGACATAAAAGCTCACACTTCAAGAACACCTGATGCCATTCCACTACTATCAATACAAGCTTTTTGTTCTCATTTCAGAGAGTCCACATACCTATTAACGATACTTTTATTCTTTTACAAGCCTAGTTTAGCGGTAATATTGAGTGACCTCAAATTTACAAGCTGTCACGTCTATTTAATAAAAATAAATTTCAACTCATATCAGAAAACAGTTTGATTAAATTCTTAAGTAACCAGTACATATCAGGTTCAATGTGAATTTAAATATCTAATTAACTGTAAACCTTCAATTTGAATTCAATCAATCAAACAGCAATAATATACGGGATATTGATTTCTATAAATCAAATTAATATGCATTATGCAATTTAAAATAACAAGCAAATAGAATGTCAAATTGACACACTTGAAATAAATAGAACTTGGGACATTTAAAATCGATTGTCTTGAACCTTGATTGAAAACATTATTATATAATAATTTATTGACCATATATTATTTATTTCTAAGGGTCTGCATTTTAAATTTTGGTCTTACTATTTCATTAAATTCATTCTTTTTTTATTGACAGCCCTCTCTCTAAAATCATCTATCTCTATAACAGATGATACAAAATAAAAATAGCCTACTTTGACAGCTTTCAATTTTAATGGAGTTGATTAATTAATACAATTAAAATCCACTAAATTAAAGTTCAAAATTAAGAAAAATGAGCAACTATCATCATGGCCCTGGCTGGAGTGTTACTTTTAGTATGGTATTCAATTCTTCTACTATAATCTTCCAGTATATAATAGGTGTGAAGAAAAACAATTAAATTCTTTTCAGAGTTGCCTACCTGAATCAAAACTCATGTAATATCCCTGAACATTTGTTGCTTAATTTAGTAAAAATTCTTTCAAGAAAAAGAAACATCACAGAACTGAACACATCTTAATTTTATACTTTTAATAATTTGAAATTCATGTGTATAGTTTATCACAGTTCACACGCTAAAAAGACAAATTAACATAAATTTTTTACCTTTTTTCGCAACAGCTGCTGGCATTTTGTTGATTTTGTGTGAAGACGTAATATTCCTGAGGTTAAGACTTTATAACAAATAAAAACGTTAAATAATATCCTTTTTCTGGTTCACTGGAGCCAAAAATAACTTAAATACTTCAATATACAATGTCAATTTACCACATATTTCATTCAAAAATACACAAAAATGTCCACATATTTGGAATTCTTAATAATGAGGTAACACCAAGAAGAATATTAGTAAGTGGTTTGAAGTGGTCAATATGACTCAATTTCCTCTCTAGATTCAGTCCAGTTCAACTGACCACTGCTCACTAAATCTCATTGATACTACTGGTCAATCCAATATACAACTAAATGTCAGGTATCCAGACACCATTACCCACAATTCATCACATTCTATTAATAACTCAAGTCACTAACCAGTCATCCAAGATGGCTGCCATGTGTGTCTGCTACAGAATGTGATAAGCTGTCAACAGTGAACTATATTGATTACATCTGACTTTACATCTAAATTACTGTTTTTCAACATAGAAATAACTTTTGCTGACATGACACCAATTTATGTGACCTATTTTCATTTTAAAGGAGGCTACCTAACAAAAATTTGCTTTCAAGAGTAGTCCAACAAGAACACAACAGCAACATGTTTCAGAGTGATTTGTGATCACTGAAATTATCTGAAGTTAAGGTTCAGAAAAAAAAATTTGGTCTTCTTTATGAAAATAATATGTTGCGGAAATTTTTACGTCTACAGTATGTTGATAAAATATTTCTTTAATGTTTTGATATAACCTTTAATACAACAATCAACAGAACTTCTCATACACAAAATCCTAAGTTTTCATTAATCCATAAGGATTTCCATGGGCAATAAATCTGTTAATATTGCATAAATCCTAAATAACTCGTCTCTGATCACCCCCTGTTATTAAGGAACAAGAATGACTCATGCTATGTTTATATATAAACATGTAAATAACAGTACAATATTGATTAAAAGCATACTGTACATTCTAAACAATATATTATATTATTGTAACTTCAGTTTATTATCATTTCAATATTATTATCTACCTAGTGATAACTGCTATTGTCAACCACAATACTAAATAATGAGAATACTTTAGGTGAATTAGTATATGGGTGGTTGAAATTTTAGACATGTTCATCCTTCTTGAACCCCTGATATACCACTCATGACAATCTTTTAAAATTCAGATGTACAACAGCACATTTGATTTGTCTATTTAGCTTCTTAAAGAATTGTACAATAATCAAACAGGACATGAATTCTTTAGATCCATGCAATCTTGGCTGCATTTTTCTAAAAATATCTTCAGAAAAAACCTCTCGTAAAAGTGGAATTGAACACTGAGAAATACCACTTATGAAAAAAGTTTGATTTTAACATATTCTAGCGGGGACCTGACACAGAATAAGCCTAGGCATTGATTTTTGGCATTTATTCATTATTTCCTCTTAAAGTAGGTTTGACTGGAATAATGATGAAAGACAACTTATTCAAGGTTACCAGACCTTCTTATAATTAAGGTCACCAGACTTGAGAACAAACTAAACAAGAATTACAAATCAGGATAGACAGTCACGTTGCATGTTACATATTGCACGATGTCCAAGTTATAACAGAATTGGGCTTTTAATCAAGAGGATATCATTTATTAGAGATCAAGGTCATCAATTTAATTAATATTTTACTTGTTACACAGTTTAATTAAATTAATTGAAATTCAACAGAATATATGTGAAGGAGGTTTAGTCTCTTCTGGAAAATCTTAGACCAGTCTGTTCTAACAGTCTTGCCAATCTTTTCCCATTTTGATTTTTATATGCAATTTCAGGGAAAACTAAGCTTTTTTTATCATAGGAATATGGAGAATTTTTTCAGATATTGTTCTGATATAGGATGATCAGAATGGGACTAAGGAAGGTGTCATACTAGATCTACAAAACTTGATTTCCTTTTCCTACGAAACCTGGTTCACATTTTCTATATTATGTTTATGTTTAACATTAATACCAATATTTTTCTAAAATCTTAATAAGATGTTGAAAGGTTTCTTCTAAGGAAATCTTCATCATTATCTTAGTTTGTGATCCGTGAACATTTAAACTGATGTGATTTAATGAGAACCGCCCAAATTTCTTTTTTATAACAAATTGCTTTCCCTTTCAACTAAATTAGAGTTTCAATATATTCTTTTTTATCTCTCCATCTACATATATTATTTATTATTGAGACCCACTCTATTGATATTGGCAATTATTTTCAAGAGATTTGTATTTATATTAAATTGAAACTCAGATGAAAAGATGGCTAACAAATTAACTGACATTGGTTTAAACAGTTTAGTTTATTTCAATGTCAATAATTTGGAGGTTTGATTAATTCTGAAGCAATTTTATTGGCCTCTAAACAAATAGAAATATTTAGGTGAACTCAGAAAGTCATGTACGATGTTAAGAAAAATCATTAAGTCTTTCGGTATTTTGTAATTGAAATATATTTTTCCTTACTTTGACATCAGCCAAAATTACATAGATTCATCTGATTTGAAAACACTAAAAGCATGTACTTTCTTAAATCAAGGCTCAGTCACCAAATATGGAAACAGTTTTCTAATTGGATCGTACCCCGGTTTCCCACGATATCCATTTTTTACGCACATCAGACAAAACATTTTTGTGACAAAAGCATCTTTATTTAAAATCACAACTATTTAAATGAAGCTTATGTATATATATTCAAAATGTTAGTTATTAAGGATTTCATGGGTTTTAATTACCGGAGTGTACAGAACCCTTAGGTATCTCTGTTTCCACTTCTTCCAGAATCAGATGGCATTATTGTTACTTAGAAAGTTTGGAGATATCAGAAGCAGCAAATGAAGCCTCCCATTCCTGACCATTGAACTCTTCCAACTCAATTCCTGCAACTGTTCCAGGATCAATACAATGAATAGAAACACTGATTCCATCTGGATTGGAACGAGGTGTATAAAAACTCTCCACTCCACATGTTTTACAGAATGTATGCTTGGCGACCATTGTATTGAAGCGATATTCAGTCAAATTGTCTTCTCCTTGTAATAAGGTGAACTTGGAATAAGGAACAATGCAGCACGCTAGGCCTTTCTGAACACAAATACTACAGTTACATTTAACTACATGTACAAGAGGGGGAGCTTGTACTTTAAATCTCACAGCTCCACAATGGCAGCCTCCTTTATGCTCTATTTCCATGCTTTAATTGCTGTCTTGTCACTCAAAACAAAAGGTAATGACCAGTGATGTACTGATTTAAGAAAGAGTCTAGGTAAAAGAGCTGCCTACAATAGCATTGAATACCATCACAGAATTTAGTCTTCAAAACAATTTTCACTCAAGGAAGTAGTCCAGCTGAAAAAAGTGAACCAGTGTTGTCACAAATCTTGAAGTTGATCTTTGTAGCAATTATTCTATGAAGCACTTGTAAAGAACTGACAAAGTTGTTTTAGTTCTCAGATAATAAGTAAAAGTTGTAACACGTTTTCTATTATATTTAGTTAGTTACATTTGATAAATAGGTCAACCCAATGTCAAGGTCAAAAATATGATAAAAGTTTTGAAAATAGTTGTTTGCTTCTTCACCCTACACAACTTCAAATACAAACCTCTGACAATAACTTTAAAATAACTCAGTTATTTTCACATGAGTGGTTCTAAATATGGCTTTCAATAATTAACCTTGAGTACCTCCCCAATAATGGATGGATGGATGAATGAATGAATGAATGACAATTGTTAAAGAGTTATTTTCACTATGATTACTGGTAAAAGAGAAGAAAGGAAGTGAGCCCTCAAAATCAAGGAGCTGTAATCCACTTATCAAATAAAATGTCTCTGAACTTAAGGGTGATCAGACAAATCTTGACATGACTTGACAAACATCTCTGAAGTTTTTTCTCATATGATACTAAAATATGCAATCTTACTGTAAACTGGTCTTTTAATAAGCTTGTAGGCTTCTTGACCAAGTTTATTACAGCATCAAGATGATGACGACACGTTATGTGCCTAATTTTATAAAAGAAGTGTGTTATATATTCCATAATACTGTCTTGTGTTTTATTATACAGCATCAAGAATTTGAATATCGAAGCTTATTGAAATTGACAAACAAATTGAACATTCAAGAAGTTCAATTTAAAATTTATTGAAATCTAGAAACCAAATTGAACATTTTCTACAATAGAAATGTTTTAATACTGACTGGTCCAGAGACATTTTTGTTCAAATGATTGAGAATACTTTAAACTACATGACTATTTGTTAAATGCTTGTCTTTAACTTTTGCTCAGACCAAGTCTATCTGTCTGTGAGCAAGAATCATTTAATTATTAACAAGTAAGGTTGTCAAATTGTCTATATAAAGGCCTAGTAGTGTTGATAATTAATAGGACCATTGATCATCAAGTAGTAAGTGATATATCTAACAGATTAGGTATTAACATTTTATATATAGATACTTGTCTACCATATACAGGAATATATTAGTTAGAACAATATCAATAACTGCCCCAACCCAACTCTTTATACACATATCGGTTGCCCCACCCCAACTCTCTCAATCTGATGTTTACAACCTCAGTCTTAAAGTGCCCTCACACCATAGCAATTACTAGTTGCGTATGGTTCAGTGTAATTATAATTAGACCAAAATTTCCTTACGATTTTTATTTGCTTTAATTTTTAATGTTTAATATAGCCACTTCAGTTGGGGTCTTAAGACTGGCCTCTTAATCATTCGTCAAAATAACTGCGTACGGTTGCAGATAATGAAAGTTGTCAAGAGTCCCACTCACAACTCAGTTGCAACTAATGACTGCTATTCTAATTCACAAATATAAGCAACTGGTGAAAGCTACAGTGTAAAATTATATGTATTACATCAATTAACCAGCGGCCCCACCCCTTCCTATCTGTATTTTACAACCCACAATCTTACATCACATGTATCACATGTATCCAAGTGTCAAACTGTCAATCAATCACTGATATTACTATTAGATAATATGAGTAGTATATTATAGATATGTAGGTATGTTATCAGGTATTATCTATGTACTAGTCACTTTTGATTTCCATCTATTATTGCCAATATCTCACGGCCCATGTTTATAGTCATATCTTTTAGTGTTAAATTATGTAACAATCTAACAGATATAGAACAATGAACACCATGATGCATTTAGATTTATGTCCTGTGTATTCTTTTTTTCAAATTTTCAGCTACTGTACATAGTCAATAGAATATTGTGAGAAAATGAGCTCTATATTTATAATAAGAAAGGAAACTTGTGATATTATTTGATGATATTTTGAATAAAAGGTGTCTACCAGATAATTAATATAATAAAGACTTAAAAGAAACCATTTTCTTTACATTTATAATTGACGGGCATAAAATCCCATTTAACACAAAGCCTAATATAATGAACATATCTTAAGACATAGCTTTCTGCTTGCAATTAGATAAGACAGAAATGAGATTTGATGGAAGTGAGTTAGGAAGTATGATCTCTGTATGTATAAACTAATATAACTAATCATGATTGAATCTAAAACTGAGTTTTTAATATAACATCATGATTCAATATTCAAACTTTAAAATCTAGTTGTGATTTATTTCAATAATATATTTAAAATATATCTATTTATTCTGCTTCGTTAGCTTCAAAAGATTTTGTGACATGTGACACATTTGGACTGATGTCATAGAGACCTGAACATTTAGAAACTGGCGAACTAACAGCCAATGTGATAAACTAGACAGTAGCAGATTCTGATTCCTGACTGTGCAGGTTGACAACTTATTTCAGTTTTTGAAAGAAAGAAGAACATGAGGAAGTGATAGCTAGTGTGATTTTCTATGAATATAGAAGTCTGAGGAGTAAAAGGTAAAGATAACTATCTAGATACACATACTGAGATACAGTTTAATTTTGTTGTAGGTAATATTAGTTGTAATGCGAATTATTCATTCTAGCCCAATACAGTGAAGCCGTGTTTATCCAGTTGCCGATAATCCGGAACCCCTGATATCTGCACGCTTTTTATAGGGTGGACTGTATGTGATTGCTTTATGAATCTGACCAGAATTTGCACAAGTATCTTTGCCTGGTGATAAATATATCTGTACATTAACAAGATAATAGTAGTTATATATCACCCTAATCTATAATAGGTGTCAGATAGATTAATACCCTATCATTACTATACCACCCTGACCATTATCATACCTCTACCCCTCAGGCTACAGACTACAACTGGTCACAACAAGTCTGGTTCAGTCAGCTGTAAGTTTGATAAGTTAAGAGATGCAATAGGTTGGACTTTCTGCTCCTTTATTTAATATACCAGTCAGAATGGTGAACATTTTTCTTGCTGTATAGTTATCGCTGATAGGATAGTTCACAAGCACTGGATTGCCGATCGATGTATGGAAATATATCCCATGTACACAAATTAAATAACATCAAGGTGATACATTGATTTGAACTAGTCTCTTGCTCAAGAATTTTATTTGCTCAAGTGCCATGATTTTATTTTTATTTTCTGGTCTGATCAGCAAAGGGGTTTGAAATTTCCCTGAGCATATTTTCTAAGAATAGTGTTCTTGGGTCAAATTGTTGCATTAAGCCCATTTCAGTAGGACATTGCTGCCCCTTTGCCCCTCATTTGATAGAATAGTGAGCACTGGTTAAATGTCAAACAAAAAGATTTAAGAATTCCTGCTTTAAAACAACATTTCCAGATGCAGTATATATTTCTATATTCAATACAGTTAGTGATAATTGAGTTGTCTCCCATTAATATAAACAGTTGGTTAATTTCTTTTGTAAATTAATGCTTTTAAAGTAAAATTATCAGTACAATCATCTGTATCCAATAATTGGATATTGTTTATTACCAAGAACTAATATGACCTCTTCACTCCTTTAGAATCATCATTTACTAAATTGGAGTTTCAGTCAAAAGACCACATAAAAAAAAGGACCGATCGCAAGATTATATAACTCTGGCTTAAAGGTAGTATATAAGTGTAGTAAGACTAAATATAATTTGCTTATGTAATAAGACTCTGAACAACGTGGACACCTATCTAAATATATCTGCTACATGTAAAATATTGATTTATATTACCAGTACTGTGTAGGTGATAAGTTATAATATTCTTAAAAACTTTTATCAATAAAACAAAATTAAAACTTTTACAAAATAACTACTGACTGAATAATCAAAAAACACCTGTTTTAAAATAATATTAACTCAAATACATCTTTATATTTCAAAACTTGTTGGGTATCAGTATTTTACTGGACAAGGACTTATCACATGTATTCAACTACCAAAAGTTCATCACAGCCTTTTCAATCATTCTTGAAAGAACTTACAGGAATATTAGCACTTGAATAAATTTTCAAACACAGAGGTTAGTGAGGGAGGTGGTCAATCCAGGCCAAGTATATAATATTAGTCCATTCTAAATCATAATAATATGGTAGTAAAACCTAATTATCTAGAGGAATTGGGCTGGAAACATTATAACATGTTATAGAAACTTCAGATTACCTTTAGATAATCTCAAAAAAATATATTACTGATTAGGATGATATCAAATATTGTTGTTTAAAACATGTTATTTTAAATAAAAGACTTATACTGGTATCGTACCGGTACTGACTTCATTGTGAAAAGTAAACAAAAATGATCTTCTATTTACAGAAGAATATATATAAAGACCCAATCATAGAAGATACATACATACAAATGAATGTAGATGGGCTATGTAAAATCATTGTAACAATGTGAAATCTACAGGCACCATTTTTCTTGATGAACACAATGGCTATATATATATGTAAGCGACAAACATACTAACCCTTCTTAAATCTATCAGAACAGCAGAATATTTTGAAGTCTCGGTCATACACAACTTCGTCAACAAACAATCATTTCACAATGTCATTCAACAAATGAAAATAGTTGGGCTATGTTAAATTATTGTAGTGATGCGAAACCTACCGGCACCATTCTGTTTGATTAAAACACTTGCTACATATGCTACAACTCCCATTCCGGCCATAACCAATAATATAACCAAACAGGTAAATACAGTGAGTAGGTATATATTATTATACTGCTATATGCCTATAACATATTGTAATTATTGGACCATATTCTACATACCTCTTACAGTCATACACTATAGTCAATAATTTTAAAGTGGCTTAGAATGGTTGAAATATTTAACTATGCACAATACTGTGAATGTGGTGTAGTGTACGTTGCCAGTGTACCTTAGATCTTTTGGCATGGTTTTAATTACAACCATATTGCTAAGGCATAGCTTGAGACGACAAACAAATTTGCAAAATGGAGAAAATAATTGAAAAATTTCAGTCTGCTGGAATAAAACTTGGGTTCCACATCAATAAGACAACTGTAGAGAAAATAATAATTTCGGGAAAACCTTTCTAAAAAGTAATTAGGAAACACAACTCATTAAAGTGATGTATTGAAATTCCATCTAGATTTTAAACTGCATGTTATACTTGTACAAGTATTCTATTTAAAGAGTAGATAAATGATCTTTTCAATTTCTGCAAGTTTTTTAGGAGAAGAAATATAAGAGAATATAGGTAGCCTTGCTTTAAATATGATCAGTACGTATACAGGCCCAGCCAAGTATTAATAGGATAATAATACACAATAATAACTTATATTGTTCTTATAGATTATAAGTTTAGTAACAGCTGACTGCTGGCCAAAACAAGCTTTAAAAATTATATATCAATTGGCTACCCAAAACTATCAAGCACTATAAGTAATACAAGGGGAAGAACTCTTATTGTATTAAATCAACAACAACATGAAATTAATGCTAACGGTACTAACATGGTATTTAACGGCGTATTGTGACGAGTCTCAATGAAAGCACTGCCATAGGCCACAGTGTGGCTGCCACAGAGCAATAGATAATTGGTAATACTTTCAAAACTACAAAATTCTGACATATTATTATGTCCATCAGATTCAGAATGCATGTCAATTGTATGATATGAACTTTATCTTCTTTTAATCCTCAAGACACCCTTCAATATACTCTGATAATGGTAATTTATAAATACTGCAGATGTTGAAGATGGGAAGAAGACACCCTTCAATATACTCTGATAATGGTAATTTATAAATACTGCAGATGTTGAAGATGGGAAGAAGAACACAAACATGCAATTGTGTAAGATTTTGTCATCTGCCATCAATTATTAATGTAATACAATGTATATGATGCATCTCCATTGCGAGGAGTTGAGATGAACTTGTTCTGAATTGGTCTGTTCCATTAAACGTTGCTCTGAAACTAAAATAATGAATAACTCAAAGACTTACTTGTCATGTTGACGTCAAGAGAACAATCACCAATCGAATCATCAGCTGACCCACATCTCACAGACGATTGGAGGACTTTGATGGAGCGGGGTGGTAAGACATCTAACGAACGGGGTGGTTCCGTTTTAAAATCAGACGACTGAGCAGACGTATCCAAGTTGACTCCATGATCCTGACTACTGTACGATTCATTTAAATAATGAGACATTTCATTGGACGATGATGTCGTATCCGGGGATGTTTTAACAGGTTTCTGGCCAGTTATGTCGCTATGACGATGATTTTCTTTTAATTTATGATGAATATCTTTATCTGAAAGTGTGTTTCTTTCGATTGACTTGAGAATTCTGTTGGTGCTGGCTGGAAACTGCTGTTTGTTGTTGAGAACATGTGTTTCTGTTCCGCTATCCGTCATGTCACGATTTCTATTAGTGTCATCTTTGCTGACTTCTCGTGATCCCTTTTTGTTTTTGGACTTTGACCTTCCCATTAATCGAAGCAATGAATGACGAACTCTGCTGCGAGACATGCGTTTTTCATTACCAGAATCATTATCTGTGTCAAATGACCCTCCATCACTTGTGTTGGACAGACTCTGAGCGCTGCCGCTTCCAGACTTGTGCTTTTCTCGGCTCTTCCGTCTGTTCACATGTGGTGAAATTCTTTTAAAGAAATTACTAATGCTGTTTCCACGTTTATGTGGCGTTAAACTGCTGGGACTTGGTGTGTCCGATCCTGATTGGTCTGTTCCTGTGTTAGATCTGTCTTTACGTATTTCAGGAGACTTGGTATCGATTCCACTATCTTCAGAAGGTCCAAAATCATCAGAAAAACTATCGGTGATGGCTTTACGATAACTTATTGTACGATCATGGACATATTCTCGGGATATATTTAGACGCGTCTTGGGTGATGTATTTCCGTAAGATTTCGGAACATTTTCCTTATTTGTGTGTTTTTCATCGGAGGGACGAACTGGAGATCTGGAAGGACTAGAAAGGTTTGGTCGAACATTATTGAGATGACTTTCAGAGTTTATATGTTCCTTTAAAATACTATTGGGACTAGTTTTACCACTACTCGGGGGAGACCACGCCCGTATCTGCTGTGAAATTTCACGTAACTGGGTGCTATAATCCTTTTCATATTCATCATGATTAGATAAATTGTTCAAATAATGGCGCTTGTCTGACAAGAATGGGTTTGGACTAGAAATAGTTTCAGGGCTGGATAATCCAGTCAATGTACTTCCTGATTTACCAGACTGACGAATCAACACTGTATTATCATAGGTCACATGTTTTGGACTCTTAGATCTATGGCGTCCACCTTTTTTATGACTTTTGCTGCTTTTTGTACTTTGTATTGTATAATCACTACGAGTGCTCAACATACTCGTTGCCGGGCTTAACGACTGGCTTCTATCACTACGCTTACCACGCTCTAATTTCAGCGTCGCAGAAAAACTTGTCCGATATGGTTGTGGTAAACGATAAACAATATCCACATCCTCTATAGAGACAGGACGAGATTGAGGTCCAGGACTCCGTCTTCGAGTTAACCGATCTCGTTGAATGTGACAATCTTCACGAGATCCTGAATCTAAGACCGATACAAATCCTGATGATGTCATGGTAACTGCTATATAATTATTCCTCTATTATAATACTATATCATAACTTTCTGAAGTTCACCTGAAAGTAGAAAAAGGGGGATAATTGAATAAAGTGATAAACTTGATGTGTTTCTGACGTCATATAATACATAATTTTAGTGGCATTGCCAGAATATCAGATACCTGAATGAAAATTGAAATGGTGCTAATTGTTATCAACTGGTGTCTCTGACAAATATAAAAATACCTCTTTACAATCCTTTAAAGAGAGAAAACATGAAATTGAAATGTACTTATAAATATCCTAGAATAAATATCCAAATCAAACATTTTCAGAATTAAATAATCTTAGTGTCTAAGAATCTTCATATAATTAATCCAGATTTCAAGCCAACTTTACAACATTAAAGAGTATTTTGACACTGTTCATTCTTGATATCAGCATGTTTGTTATTCCAAAATAACCTCAAATATTCAAACAAAACACAATATTCACACAATTTCTATAATTTCATCCACCCATATCAGTTATCATTCAACACAAACCTCAAATCTAAAATAACTTTATCTACTAGCTAACAGACTGTCTTTTCAATGGTTGTGCATTATTATGGGTGCGTTTTATTGACTTTTAATATATTCATAAACCTACAATACCTGTCAATACACATAGCTAATATAGTGAAATATTACTAACAATTTTAACAATGTGTTAATGTGTTACGTTTTCTTTGAAAATGGACACTAGTTTTAATACTGAAAATAAAAAGATGTAGTTCTTTCGCCTATGTTAGCAAGGTTGTAGAATGATCCAAGTTAAAATGAGACAAACATGGGTCAAGAGTAGTTGTAAAATACATAACTGAAAATGAAAAGACATTTCTAATATAAGGTCTTTGTTTCAAAAGTCAGTCAAAAGTGGCCTTAGTTTGTTTAATAGTCTCAATTCTCATACATGTATATAACTCTAGACTGATAAGTATTGACAATGCAGCTTACTGGAAGAAATATCTTAGAAGTATTGAACGCACGAAGGAATTTTTTTAAATTGCAAATCTTTCCAGTTTTGAGAATATTCCCTATAGATTACAGATATTTCAACGCAGCACGCATAAAGCTTTGAACTTCTTTAAAATTTTATGAAAACCATCATTATTTTCAAACTCTGATAGTTTCAAACAACTGCAGTAACTATAGAATGTCCCTCTGGAATTATAGGTTTCTATAGATTTTCTTTCATATTCATGAGAATAATAATAGTATGCTATTTCTGTTCTGACAAAAAATATCTTGTGTATGCCATAATGAAGCTTCATTATTCTCTGTTTTCTATAATTTAAAAAATATACAACACAAGATTCCAATAATAACCATACTAATAACTATCCAATTTTAAAGTTTGTCATAGAAATTTATTTTTGATGAAAAAATTTGACTGATCAATATCTAATACAGAAATATTCAATAACTATTGTGCAAAGATTGATAATATATATGATCATTCAACAATCCTTTTTAATCAAGTTACCTTGATCGGAATTCTGAAACACATGTTAACACTCTAGAGATATGCTCCCATCAATAATGTGCAGTTATCAGAGAAATCTAAACTGTTCAATATTACCACAATGGAAATTAACAAGGATTTTAACCATCGAAATATTGCATTCATATCAAATCGGTATAGAATTATAAACACAAAACCTGAAGTTCGTTGTCACTCAGATGTCATATTGTAAAATCTTCGAACAATTGATCTTCAGTCGGTGTCCCTATTGGCAAATTGGCCATTTCTTTATGGAAAATGATGTAGAAAATATTAAATTAGAAGCATATACTTTTTGCAAAATACTAGTACAATTTCAGATGAACTATCCAATATGAATTTATGCTTATAGAAAATTATCCAGAGAAATTCAGGAGCAAATCCTTTTCTAACACACAATTGATAAAAAGTATTTTTTTTTACAATCATTCCAATATATACTATGATTATATACCAATAAACGTCCAAGGTTTCTCTGTATATACCAGTATAGTATTAAATCAGGCTAGGTTATTACAGAGAATCCAAACAAAATATTAACCAATTAACAGAAGTTCAGCTGTCATAGAAACTATTTACTTGTCATATCATACCTCAAAATAGGTCACTTTTAATTAACTGTTTTTGAGGCTTGTACATAAATTATGATTCAAAATGCCCAATGTGACGTAGCCTATCATTTCTGTCAAAAGTTTTGAGTAAAAACATGCTTTGTGCAATGAGCTTCAATGCAAATAGAGTATAAGGTTAAGCTACTTTCATTATTTATGAAAAAAGAAAATCGGACAAATCATGAAATAGTGTGAGATTTTAATAGGTTTAACCACATAAAAATGGTAATATGTTGTCACCTACAAATATACACTTAACTTACAGCTTAATTTTACAAACTTTAACCCTCTAGCTATAACGGTACCAGTAACTAGAAATAGGAACAGGTTGCCAACAGAACATCTTACAGAGGGAGTGTGTGGATTGTTTTTAGATTCTTTTTTTGTTAAAAACCATAGAAAAATAGAAAACCTGACATTTATATTGAAAGAGAATCATCGAGAATAATACAAAACCTACACTGACTTTCTACAGAGATAACAGTGATAAGACTGATATCATATACATTATACATTCCTTCTCTATACCAGTAGCTTCATATCATGTATATTCTCTTACTAAACCTACCCCCCCTCCACTATCTGATCACTACCAGTTCTCAGAACACTCCAGAACTGAACAGATATACAGAAATTCTTCTTTCCAATATAAAACTCTCCCAACCCCTCCCATCTACAAATCTCATACACTAACTTCCTACAGAGATAACAGTGATATCATAATCTTTATACATTCCTTGAGTAAAAAACAGTACCTTCTTATTATATAATTCTTGTTACCAAAACAACCACATCCCCGCCCCCTCTACGTCCCCTCTACGTCCCTCCCAGAAGTGATAAGATCAATATCATACACCTTATACATTCCTATAGTTTAAATTTTCTCTGATCCCCTCCCACCCATAATTCTCACATACTGACTTCCTACAGAGATAAAAGTGATAAGAGCCAATATCCAGAATTTATACATTCCTTTTCTATAATAACAGATATACTCTAGATATAAATATTCTTTCTATCTGATATACTAACTACCCCCTACCCTCTCTCATACACTAGTTTTCTTTTGATAACAATGATCAATATCACTGAACTTTACATCAGCATAAAGGCACAGGTTCGCCGTCCGTTTGACCAATCGTATCTTAATCTCAGAAAAAGGATTTTTTCTAACTAAGCTAATCAGTATGATCAAATTTTTCAAATCCATGTCTGTCGAAAATAATCCACGTTTGAACGTTCAGAAGACTGTTTAATTTATTCAAGACCCAAATCAACCCCCACAAAATGGCGAACCTGTCCCCTTTAAGGAATAACATTGACCAATATCATGAAACTTTACAACCGCTTAATATAACAAAGTTATTTTCTTCAACCTAATTCAATTTTTACCAGGATGTGCACAAATAATTTCTTGACTACTGGTATATCTAAAATATAATGAGTTAACAACCACTCTAGATCATTGAAGAAATACTGAATGACAAATATGTAAAAATGTATACAATTTAGCACAGTGTGCAGTGAAATTGTAGAACTATGGATGATTCAACAGTTAACAATGTTCCTGTTCTACATTCCATAAACTTAAAATAAACAATATGATTTCTAAAACAGTCAGTTGTTTGAAACAAGGCCTTTGACTGCTAGGTTGTTAAGTTCCAGGGATTAACCCACAAAGAATGCCCTTATCTTGCGCCTTAATCTTGCAAATTAAATTTTTTTAAGAAATCCAGATTTTTAAGAATAAAAAGCAATTTGAAATTGATTTAACCATTACATTATAACCAAAAGTCAACTGGAGATTTAAGGCATGACCTTATTCTAATGTAAACTTACTACAAGCAACTATATTCAACTAGATTCTGACTTAAGATGACAGGCTCCTTGACAACTCTTAGTTACAGAACAGGACATGATCAACTGATGGCAACTGCCAAGATCTAGCTGCTTTTTCTAAGAAGTTGTTCAAAATCTAGTTGCTGTTAGTCTGGAGGTTGAACTGAATCCCTTTTCTACCCCTAATTGATGTGAGGAACATTTTCATATCACACCTGATAATCATAGGAAGAAAACCAGCCAGCTTACCTATAATATTTTTACACCTTGAGAGAAATAAAGAAATATTTGATATTGGAATGAAATATATTGATATTAAAACCTAATTTATTGATTATCATAATCTCTACATTATGCTGTACATTAATCTGATATCTTAAAGGGATGTAGTCATCTAAACATTGTCTAACATAACCAGAACTTGAGCTTGGTTGTAACATAACCAAAAACCTTAGGTAAGGGCCGTTTTCATTATGCCAATGGAGACAATGGTTGCTAGGAATATGGTACAATTTTTGGAAGAAACACGTAGAACTTTGCATGAAACTTTGTGATTGTTGTTTCATAAAGCTGTGACTATATATCACTCTCATTTTCTTTATAGATATATAGTGAGCACACTTTTTTTTAATATTTTCCAAGCACAGATTTGACACTGACTTGGCTCTGTCAACCAATCTCACAGATATCTAGACAACTGTATCCCTTAAAAAATACATTATCTACATTACAAGTTAATTTGTACACTCAAAAATAGGTTTATCCTATAAGAAAGAGACAGACAAGGTTATGGAATCTATTTTCTGGTCTTTCAACAATATAAAGATATTTATAAAGAATGTATACCTTGATAAAAATATCATTATAAAGTCACTGTACAGCCTTAACAATTTCTTTTTTAGTTTCTTTAGATGTTCATTATATTGGAATTAGCCCTTTATCGCAACTTCCTGTTTGGCCTCTTGTTGTTGACAGGTTTCCATGGAAACAAAGCTAATTCTCAGTAGCCACTGGCTCCCTGA